GGACACAAGCATCCATATCGATTAAAACATGGTCATCATTTACTGAAGCTGTTCTAAAAGTTTTTGGATCAACAAAAATACAAGAATTAGCATTCGAACAATTAAAATGGTACAAACAAACAGTTAATCAACCTGTTAGGCAATATTATGATAAAATTATAGAACTGTGCAAAAAAGTTGATCCAGCTATGCTTGATTCATTGAAATTAAAATATTTAATGGCTGGTATAAGAGAATCATTAAAATTACATGTTGCTTTACAGAATCCAAAGACAACTAATGCATTTTTATCGCTCGCCAGAAAAATTGAAGATACATTATCATTTACTACTACAGATAATGAAATGCAACAAAATGAAATTAACATCAATACTACCACTATTCAAAAATAATTAGAACAAAAAACTATTTAACAAAAATCACAAATATTCGACAAAATATACCTTCATAAGAGCAATCGCAATCATGTCCAAATTATCAACGTACTACGCAAACTTCGTATAAAAAAACTGAACATTATGAACCTTCAAGATATTCTCAATATTCACAACGATCAAATAGTTGTTATAAATGTGATACTCCTGGTCATTATGCTCGGGATTGTACCCGTACCCATTTCGGGTAAAGGAGACAATGATGGGTGGTGTTGCTTCCAATAGTTTACATAGAAATCCATTGACTCTAAATACATCTTTACTATATCTTAATGTTATTGTAAATAATAAAAAAACGAAGGTAATGATGGATACAGGTGCAAATCGATCTTTTATTTCAATCAAAGCATTAGATCCATCCTATGGTAAGCAATTTATTAATAAATCACATAGTCGTGTAATTTTAGCTGATGGTTATACATCTCTTTCTGTTTTTGGTACAATGAATTTATTTATTATGATGGATGATATGTCAACTTCTATTAAGGCATTATTCGTTAAAGAATTATGTGCCAATTGCATATTAGGTATAGATTTCATTCATAAATATAAATTATTTATTAATACTGAAGAACAAATAGTTTCCATTAGTGATAATTATAAACGTATCGCATTAAAATTTGATATTAACAAAGGTGACATAAGATATTCTGCATGTCTAATTAATAATGTCCGGATTCCACCAAAGAGAACAGTGACAGTTCCTGTATCTGTAGAATTATCATCAGCTAAAGTATTATTTTGTCCATGCTTTAAATTACAACAACGATTACCTATATTTATGTTAAATTCTTCATTAACTATTAATCATCATACTTCATCTATTTCATTTCATAATCCAACAACTTACTCATGTTTATAACCGAAAGGAATTATTTTGGAAACAATAACTATTCCTACATTATCCTTTAAAAGAAACTCAATTATTGACCATCGATCCGTAAATAACAACATTACTAATTTAACTCGACATATTGATAATCCTGAACAACAAGATAGAGTTGAAACTCTTCTTAATCAATTTGCAAAATTACTTGGTACTAGTAAATTAACAATTGCTACTAATGTAAAATCTCATGCTATTAAAACACTTGATCATCCTCGACCAGTATCCAAACCATATTATTCTACTCCAAGTGAACAAGAAGAAATGTATAAGATGATACAAGAATTATTGCATTTTGGATGAATTCGTCTATCTGATTCTCCATATGCAGCACCAGTATTACTGGTAGCTAAGCACGATAGTACATGGAGAATGGTAGTAGATTATAAAAAATTAAATAGTATTACTATTAAGGATAATCATCCATTACCCAATATGAAGCAAGCAATACAATTATTAGGTGGTGGTTATAAATTTTTTTCCAAACTTGATATGAAGAGTGGATTTTGTTAAATTCCAATTAAAGAAGAAGACAAATTTAAAACTGCATTTATTACTCCAGATGGTCTTTTCGAATGGAATGTGCTAGCTCAAAATCTCAAGAATAGT